TTGTCAAAGGTTACAAAGACAAAGCCCCTTTTCTTGCCACTGCCTCGGTCAGTCATGATTTCAATCACTTCCATTTTTCCACACTGTTCAAAATAATCTCTTAGGTGATGTTCTTCATGTCTTTAATGCCACCAATAAATATCCTTTTCACAGTTAAGTAGGCACTTGGTCTTTGAGAATCTAACCTTGAGACAGCTCTCTTTGGTTCCACAACTCTTCCATCCACCTTCTGTGGCCTTGCATTCACGGCTGCATCCACCTCCCCCACAGTGGCATATGTGACAAACCCAAAGCCCCTGGAGCGCCTGGTGTTTGGGTCTCTTATTACCACACAGTACGTGAGGGTTCCCCATTGCTCAAAATGGCTCCTCAGACTCTCATCGGTTGTTTCAAAGCTCAACCCTCCAATGAAGAGCTTCCTCAGCTCTTCGGGCTCTTTAGGAGACTCTGACTTAGACATGACGGCAGGGAGAAGAGAGACTTTAATGATGCTGCTTCGGCAGCATCCACGGGCAGAAAGGAGCAAGCTGACCTCAGGTCTTTTAATTGATTTAACTTTTTCTGTATGGATGATCAGTGATCCCAACCTCATTTATTTAAAAGTTCATCCCTACCTCACTGATTAGTAATGGTTCTATTCTAAATAGTTCAGTGTGAACAGGTCTGTTTATGATCACTCAGTTCTTTTTTTTTTGAGACAGAGTCTCTCACTGTCACCGAGGCTGGAGTGCAGTGGCACCATCTTGGCTCACTGCAACCTCTGCCTCTCAGATTCCAGTGATTCTCCTGCCTCAGCCTCCTGAGTAGCTGCGATTACAGGCATGCACCACCACCCCCAGCTAATTTTTGTATTTTTAGTAGAGGGGGGGTTTTTTCATGTTGGCCAGGCTGGCCTTGAACTCCTGACCTCAGGTGATCTGCCTGCCTCAGCCTCCCAAAGTGCTGGGATTACAGGCATGAGCCACCATGCCTGGCCACTCAGTTCATTTTTAGTAGTCTCATCCCTCTGCTAGTACTATATTGTGTTAAGTACTATAATTAAATAATCCTATTAACTGGCAGAACAAGGGTGCCCTTATTCTTCCAAGTTGGTTATTCACTTTTCCATATGAATTTTAGAACAACTTCGTGAGTTCCATGAAAAAACCCTATTGCCATTTTGTTTGGAATTTTAATTCATTTATTAATTTTGAAGAGTATCTTTATGGTATTGAATCCTCTTATTAATAGATCTTTGCATATAGAAGGTTTTTTTTAAGTTCTTCAATAAAAGTTTACATTTTTTTCTTAAACTTCTAGGGAAAGTCATAGGATTTCTCATCACTTTTGTTGATGAAATAATTGGTATTTTTATTGCATTGTAAGCCATTGGTTTTATTATTGATTTTTATATATCTATTTTGTATGTCTCATTCTCTCATTAGTTTATAGATCTGTTTGGATTTTCCATATAGGTAATCATATCCCCTGCAATATTAACAATGTATTTTTTCCTAATACTTAATATCTTTCATTTCATTTTTCTGTATTATTTTGCTAGATAGGTTCTTTCAACGTTAATTGAAGCCATTATGGTGGACATCCTTTTCCTCTCATCCTAACTTTAATGAAAATGATCCTGTATTTTGCTGTTGGATATGGTGTTTTCTATTGGCTAGTGGTAGTTGTGAGTTATGTTGATTTGTTTATCATGTTTGTTGTTTTTAGATTAAAGAAGTTCTATTTCTAGTTAAGAGGTTGTAGGGGTGTGTGTGTGTGTGTGTGTATGCGTGTGTCTGTGTGAAAGCTTTCACTTGCATCTGTATAGATGATCATATGGGTTTTTTTTATTGGTGTAGTAAATTACATTCATAGATTTTCAGATGATAAAACATTTATGAGATTAACTCAAATTCAGCATTTTTTAAATTACTGGATTTGAATTGTAATGATTTTATTTAGAATTCTGGCATATATAATATTTGTTTCTGTTACTACCCTTTGTTGGATCTGGCATCAAAATTATACCAGTTTTATAAAATAAGGAATAGTCCCTCTTTTTCTGTTATCCAGAACTATTTGAATAACTGCGTATTGATTGTTCCCTAAATGTTTGTTAGAATTCACCTGTAAAACAATCTGGATTTGATATTTTCTTTAGTTTGTCTTATAGTAGACTTTTAACAACTGATTCTGTTTCTTTAATGTCTGTAGTGTATTCAGATTATTTGGGGGCGGGAGTTTCAGTTTTGAAAATTTGTATTTTTCTAGAAATTGACCATTTTGTTTAGATTTTAAAATACATTTTTTTCTTTTTTTTTTTTCTTTTTTGAGATGGAGTCTCGCTCTGTCGCCAGGCTGGAGTGCAGTGGCGCCATCTCTGCTCACTGCAAGCTCCGCCTCCCGGGTTCACGCCATTCTCCTGCCTCAGTCTCCTGAGTAGCTGGAACTACAGGCGCCAGCCACCAAGCCCAGCTAATTTTATTGTATTTTTTAGTAGAGACGGGGTTTCACTGTGTTAGCTGGGATGGTCTTGATCGCCTGACCTCGTGATCCGCCCACCTCAGCCTCCCAAAGTGCTGGGGTTACAGGCATGAGCCACCGTGAGACTGTTGTTCTTAGTAGTATCACATGACTTTTTAAAATCTCTTAAGCTATCTTTAGTTATATATCCACTTTCAATCTCACTATTGTTTCCACTGGTCTTTTTTCCTTGGGTTGGGTGTATTTTAATAGTCTTCTCAAAGAACCACTTTTTGCCTTTTTGATTCTCTTGATTAAATTCTTTTCCTCTCTCTTAATTCCTTTCTTATACTTGGTTTTAGTATGTTCTTTGACTTCTTGAATTGGATGCTTTCTCAGTTGTTTCTAGTATTATACAGTTCTTTTATATAACAGTCAAATTGCATCTCACAAGTCTTAATATTTTCATTATCATTCATATCTTATATTGTTCCTTCTAATATCTTGTTTGCTCCATAAATTTAGAATTCTCTTTAATTTTTCAAACATTTTTTTCATACATTATTGACTGTTTTTTAGTCTATTTACATTTTTTTCAGAGATTATGTTCTCTCTGACGCCAGTTCTTGGTTATTGTTGACAGTGTTCTGCAGTCTTTGGGATCTGCATATATGTGATAAATTTTCTAAGTTTTCCATGTGTGCTTCAAAAGAATATGTATTTCTTTCTTAATTGTTAGACTCTGAGTTCAATATATGTTCATCAGATCAAACTTACTAATTTGTATTGTTAAATTTTTTTAATCTTAACTCTTTTTTTGTTTAATCCATTAATTGCCAAGAGTTATGTCAAATTTACCCCTTATGGTGTGGATTTGTTCAATTTCTTGTAATTATGCATTTAAAATATTCCTGGTGAATTATTACTCTTATTATTAGATAGAGACTCTTTGTGCCTAACAATGTTTATCATCTTGAACTGCATTCTGTCAGATATTAAGAAAACTACAACTTTTGGTAGGGGAGAAAAGGCTAACATTTGTCTGTTGCCTGATAAGTATGTTTCTACTTTTGTATTTTAAATATGTCTGTTTTAAACATCATAGTTTTTTTAATACAATCTGAAAAATCTGTTAAGTTTTGAGTTTATTTTATATATGGTAATTACCAATATATTTGTATTTATTTCTATTATTTTGTGCTTTTTATTCTGCTTTATAAAATGCTTTTTTCCTTCTTTCTTTCCTTTCATGTTATTTAATGAGTTTTTCTCTTTGTTCTCTGCTCTTGATTTTTAAGTTCTGTAGTCATTGTCTTTTATTTAATGGTCATATGTTCTCATATTTTGGAAACAGATTGTTTACAGCCCTCCTCAAAGTTGGCCATCATTATCATTTCACACAGTGTTTCTTTTGATTTACCTGAGTGTTTGCCACTTTCATTCCTCACCATTCCTACTTTCATCTTTCTCTTTCCTTTGGGATTCAGTTAACTTCGTCTTAAAGTATGTAATTTAATAGTTCTTTCAGTGAATGTGTATTGGTAATGTTTAGATCTTTGATGTTCAAATGTCTTTTAATTTTGTTCTCATTCCTGAAGTGTGATTTAACTGAGTGTAGAATTCTACCTTGATAGTTATTTTTCTCAGTGCTTGAAAGTGTTTTCCACTGCCTTTGACATAGACTGTTTTATGACATCTATTCTCAGTCCCCTACTGTCCTACAATTTTATAGTAAACTGATTTGTCTTCCTGGTGTTTTAGAGATCTTCTATTTGATTTTGGTATTTGCAATTTCAGTATCCTGTATTTATGTATGTATTTGTTTTTATTTGTCTTCCTTGGGATACATTATTTTTCCCAAAATCCGTACGAGGCTTTTTAGATTAGATTCTTCAGGAGAGACTTTACCTTGCCCACCTAGAGACCAGATTGAAACAAACAGTCTTTCTTGATGTGTTCCTGTGTTGTTGAGTGACTTTTATTAATGTCTTTGCTCTTTAGGTTCTTTGCTTTATTCCTGAATCTACCATTTTTTGTCACTCACTTCCCAAAATGTACCTGACCCCTCATTTCTTGCACCATCCTGTTACTGCATCCCAAGTGTCAATATTACCAAAATGCTTTTACAGTAGTATGTCTACTGAGCTAATACAGATGGAATCAACCACAATTGATTTTTTTAAGTGTAATCATGTATGACTAGGCAAAAGTAGATTAAGGAGAATAAAAACTAAAACAGTAGTTGCTGATTATTTTTTATCCCAGTTCTACACTAAAGGGATATCACATACTCACTTCAGGCACACTAGCTTACTACTATAAATCTTAAGAAAAAGAACTTGTAGTTATGTCCCCCTGCTGGATGGGGCTAAGAAAGTTAACATACCAGTGACCTAAAAAGATGAGAGTAGAGAACAAATCATTTGGAGTTTCATACTTTATTTTGATTATCTGTGTTCTTTGACTCTTCAATAATGCCCTTGAGAAAGATACTGCATTTGTAATTAATTGTATTCTTCTTCTGCATGTGTTTAGTTTTGTTTGTTGTTTTTTTTAAGGCATTCTGTGAAACTTTAGAAGAGACTAACTACCGCTTACAGAAAGAACTACTTGAAAAACAAAAGGAGATGGAATCACTAAAGAAACTGCTCAGTGAGAAGCAACTTCATATAGATACTTTAGAGAACAGAATCAGGTGTGTTGTGATACTTGAATTTCTACTCTAACTAATTCAACCCTTAATACTTTGGGCTAAATGCCCTTTATATTTTAATATGATTTAGGAATTTTCTGATTCTGAAAGTTGTAGGCTTTTGGCATACTTCATTGGGAAAAGTATACTTTATTTAGCATAATTTAATTTTGCTAAATAAATTTTGAACATTGAAGGATGGGAAACATCAGGAAAATAAGCCGCTAACTGTTCAACAAGATAAACATTATTCATTTTAATCGTTGTTAAATCATTATTAAATAAATAATCACTATTAAATGGAATACCATTATTTTATTTAAGTGATATTTTAGTTTCTAGGCATTTATGCCAACTTTTCACATATGAAAGCTCTAGTTTGCCATCTCATCAGCATATCTTGAATTGATGCTAAAGTCATTTTAAATTAATCACAGCTACTAATTTCTCTGTTGACTTCCAGAGTGAGCTGTTTATTAGCTATGTGACTACATTAAGCCTTAACAGCTAAAGACTGCGATAGCTACATGTATTCACAACATTAAACATATGCCTGTTTTGTTCATAGAAAATAACCTGTTGCTATAACATACTTTTAGAACATTGTCTGTAGAACCTGAAGAATCACTGGATGTGTCAGAAACAGAAGGTGAACAGATCCTAAAGGTGAAGTCCTCTGCACTTGAGGTTGATCAGGATGTCCTGGATGAAGAATCTAGGTACATAATATTTCGTTTATGATAGCTTAATCCTTTGAATAATTGGAGGAAAGTGATTCTGATACTCTATAGAGTATTTTTTTATGAACTCAGTGTTACTGTATCACGAATCTACTAAGCAAGCAGAGAATGATTGGAGATATTTTAGGCTCTTCCTAAAAAAGTATCTTTGACATCAGGCTGTAAGTTTTCTCATTACTTACTTTAGAGCTGTGTCTGCATTAACTGGCCTCTGACTCGGGTAATTAATTAATTTTTAAAATATTGACAGATTACCTTAATCTCCCTCAATATCACCCTTTTTCCATTCAAAAAATAGGATACTATAATAGCAAACTACCCTTCCTACCTAATAGGAATGATGAAAAGGTAATGTATTTAAAAGCACATAGAGTTTTTATTGCATACAAATCCAAGGTAATTGTTAATAGTTTAGTGGTAATGGTCGACTGTAATTCTGAGAACAATTTTATGTTGATAAAGGTAATTACCAAGTAGATTTTTATTGGTAAATGGTAGTTTGGAGAGCTGAAAGTGTTTAAAACCTATCTCCAAGGGTCTTACCTGGCAATGACAACTTAAAAATATTAAATTTCTGATTGAATGTTTAAATACTCTTTTACATTAAATACTTTTACAGTAAATACGTAAATATTCTTTCTATAAGGTAGAAGATTTTTAAAGGTAATAGTGAAATGAAATAATAGCATGCATCCAATCCTGTCATTGACACGTTGCTTTTTTTTTTTTTTTTTTTTTTTTGCAGAGCTGATAATAAACCATGCTTAAGTTTTAGTGAACCTGAAAATGCTGTATCAGAGATAGAAGTAGCAG